TTTTTTTTTTAAATGTTCAGGGCCCTAACCTGTACAATTGTACCAAGTTTCATGCTTTTATGAAAAAGTGAACATATCACCTCAAATTTGGCACATATCACCTGGACTATACATTAAGTGCTAAAAATCAGTATCAAGTGAAAATGAGTTGAACATCATTACAGAAGAAGGCCATTGCATTTTATAAACCTCAATAAACTGGTCTTGTTTGATCATAAGCATTGAAGAATGTGATACAGTAATGCAAGCATATGCTTTTTTACAGCACTGTGTATTATTAGAATATTCAGTATAATAATGATGATCATAATAAATAGAGTAATTAATATGTATTAAGCAGATTTCAATATAACATTATATTTAAATGGGGAGGGTTCCAAAAACAAACAGTATAGGGCAAAAAAGGCCTACTATTATATATATTTAATATTATATATGTATATAATAGTATATATATATATATATATATGATTGGATGTGTGAGTGTGTGGCAGTTTTTCTGCTAATTAAGGGAGAATATAGGACTTCTTCACCTTGCTAATGGTTGTTGAAAGGAAAACTGCTATGAAATGCATCATATTTTGTGAGAAACAGTGATATGCACCAGCAAAACTAATTTTAATTTTAGAATTAGCACTCCAAAATTAGTCAGAAACAAGTATTGGATTTCATTCAGCAAACATGATGCAGGGCGGTGTAATCAATACGGATCTTATAAGGTCATGTAATGTGAATTATTTATATATTTTTTAATCACTATAACATTGATTTTATATTTCTAATGCCATGTCTCAGTTTGTTCATAATTTTAATATATTGTAAATATATTAACATATAGTCTGAATAATTTTTGGACTTTATGATTTATCCTTGTAGATGGAAAAGCTGAATGGCACCTTGCTTTATTAACGGGGAGGAGAAATTAAGGAGCTTTGGGCCATATTCTGTTTTGGGTCATTCATTCCAAAACTATACACACTGTTTGTTTGCATTTGTTTGTAAATGTGTTTTTAAACCTAATCAGATTCACCACTGAATTGCTTAGACAGGGTTAGAGTGACTGCAGAGGTTTGGATCAGAAGATCTGAGCTGACAGAGACAGCGGCACTCCTGATAATGACGGCTGGATTACTGAGGTTTAGAGAGACTCTCTGCTAATGAGGTTGGCTGCATTAATGTGAGTTGGGAATAAAAGCGTTTAACAGGAGCAGATGAGACATTCACAACCCTTTGCACTGCAAGACCTAATGCACAGATCACAATATTTTGACAGATAATGTTTATATGAACGCACACTAGAACACTGTAGGCTGACAACAGCACGATTGTATGTGTTTGTTTTGTACTAGTAGTTTTGTAGTAATTTGTTTAAAGGTCACATATTTTACACCTGCAGTCAGAAGAATCTTAATTATGAAATGTTATTTGTGCATAACAGTATCAAATCAAAGACACACACTGCCATTTACTCTAATCGTGATGAATGTCAGTGAGCATGTATCGTGCTGATACACGCCAGCAGCTCATGAATACAAGAGAAAAACAGGAAAACAGCATGAGGAGGAGGAGAGATGAAGAAACAGAAATGAAAGAGTGTGTTGCAGAGGAGATATTCTGCACCACACTGCTGTAATCACTAGTAAGGATTGGTGTGGACTGATAAGAGGAGATGTGAGATACAGAGAAGCTGTGTTGAAGGAAGATGGTGAGCAGCGGAAGACGATTGGTTGAGCTGTGAGGAGGCGTGCCAGTCTGAAGGATTTGTGTGACAGTTACCAGAGAGAGGGAGAGAGAGAGAGAGGAGGCGATAGACTGTGTGCATTCATCAAAGACACACACTGCCATTTACTCTAATCGTGATGAATGTCAGTGAGCATGTATCGTGCTGATACACGCCAGCAGCTCATGAATACAAGAGAAAAACAGGAAAACAGCATGAGGAGGAGGAGAGATGAAGAAACAGAAATGAAAGAGTGTGTTGCAGAGGAGATATTCTGCACAACACTGCTGTAATCACTAGTAAGGATTGGTGTGGACTGATAAGAGGAGATGTGAGATACAGAGAAGCTGTGTGGAAGGAAGATGGTGAGCAGCGGAAGACGATTGGTTGAGCTGTGAGGAGGCGTGCCAGTCTGAATGATTTGTGTGACAGTTACCAGAGAGAGGGAGAGAGAGAGAGAGGAGGCGATAGACTGTGTGCATTCGGCGTGTGTGTGTGTGTGTGTGTGTGTGTTTGAGGGGGTGTACGAGCGCAGGAATAATCGCAGGAGAGACAGACGGTGTGGATCCTGTTCTGCGGTAGCTGTTGGGTTCTTGCCTCCCGTGAGGACTGTGCTTTATACCTGGAGTGAGCAGCGCTCCGACGCAACAGAGGACAGAAGAGGGTCGATGGAGTGAAGCTATTAAACCCAGAGTGCGAACGTTCTGCCGGACCTCTGAATCCAAAGACAAAGACGCAGAGGTAGAAGGATAAAGAAGTGGCATGAATAAGGAAAGAAACTGACTGTAGGTTTGCCAGAAAATGAGAAGCAGGATAAGAGACAGGTTGAAGAGATGATGCATTGGTTCAAAATTTAAGATTGAAACCTCAACTGGCAAAGCAGGACAAGCCTCTGTGTATTAAAAAAAAAACGTGTCAGTTCATCTGTATTCATCTGTTCATTCATGCTGTCTGCGAAATCTTTAGATGATTTGGAGGTTAAGAAAATACTGGATTTTTTTGCACGGTCCAGCCGTGAGCAGGACTTCTTGTTGCTCCCCTAGTAGGTGTCCAGCAGGACAAGGGTTGTTTATTTGTTAGGAGGCCAGGCCAGAGGCATGAGTGCCAGCATGCTCATGTCAGAAATGAATCCGGTCAAATGCATGGTTGTAAAGAGGTGATCTGCCATGCATCATCGTGGTAAGACATCTTCCCTAATGAAGCGGCATTAGAGCACCTATGCCATTGATTGAGGGTCCAGAAAGGATTAATTGCATTGCAGGAAATGACTGAAGTGCATCTGAAAGATATTGAATCAGCAGTTAAAAGTGATTAAACACTGCTAAGGATTGTTGGTGGACCTCTGTTGGACTTTATTGGCTTGCGAACCAAAGACCGCTGCCATCTCCTCAAGTTCCTGTTTAAAAAAAAATCTATACTCCTTTTCATCAAAGAAAAAAAAACTAATAATGGCTATGTTTTAATGATTTTGGACTTGTGGTTTCCAACTTGCCATCTTATCACTTTTCTTACTTTGTGACTCCAGTCTTGTAAAAGTGGGGATCATTTGGCCCCTGGGGGTCCGGGCTGCGACCCCGGCCCCGGCCCCCAAACCAAAAATGCATCGCTCAAGTACAGATGAAACGCCGTACCGCCGGAGTCCCTCTCTGGACAGTAAGCCGGGCTCGCCGCCGCTGCGCTACAGCGGGGAGTACGAGTACCACAGCTCGCCCTTCGTCTTCGGCCTTCGTACCACACCGGGCTCAAAGCAAGCTAAAGCCAGCTACACCACTGCACAGGGCCGGAAATATGTGGTGTTTTACCTCGACCTGTCCTTCATCTTCCTTCTAGAGCTGCGGCGCTGCAAGATGGCCGAGGGCTGCCTGAGGGCCCTGAGATACGGGATGGTTTTCTTCAATCTGCTCTTCTGGGTGAGTCTGAGTCCTGTACATTTCATCTCTTCTGTTATTCTGTTCAAATGGCTCTGCTTGAGAGACAATGTTAAAGGAATAATTCACTCAGACATAACAAATTACTCAGTATTTACTCATGTTGTCCTAAACCTGAATGACTTCCTTTCTACAGATGTTTAGCTGAATGTTTGAGCTGCTGTTTTCCATACAATGACAATGATAGTGAACACACTTTGTCCAGCTCCAAAAATGACCAAAACACCATAAACATGACCATAAATGTGGTCCATGTAACTTGTATTATATTCTTAAGTAATTCTGAAGAGAGAAGTATTCCCATCTCAAATCCCGCATGTCTGTGTCCTTTATGATCTGTGTGAGAAACAGTTGCATTTTGCTGACTATGACCCCAGCCTGGCCTTCATGGTTTTTGTCCTGACTTGAATCAGATGAGTCTCTGTTCTCTGGTGTTTTTTTTTTTAGATGATGTAGGCCCGCAGTAATTGTTGGTGTGTGTGATCACAACAGATCAGGCTTAAATAACTTCATGAGTGTTTCTTTGGTAAGAGTGTGTCTACTAAAATCATTAATGTGGTGCTTGTACTTCAGGTGTGCCCAGTCCTGTTCTGGAGATCTACCTTCCTGCATAGATCCTGCATAGATCTCCAGGACAGGATTGGGCACCACGGCTCTACATTACACTGATGCTCTTGTTTAAAAATTTTTTTTTTATGGCATTTAGAATCAGCTGTGTTTGGATGAGTCTCTGTTCTCTGGTGTTTTTTTTTTTAGATGATGTAGGCCCGCAGTAATTGTTGGTGTGTGTGATCACAACAGATCAGGCTTAAATAACTTCATGAGTGTTTCTTTGGTAAGAGTGTGTCTACTAAAATCATTAATGTGGTGCTTGTACTTCAGGTGTGCCCAGTCCTGTTCTGGAGATCTACCTTCCTGCATAGATCCTGCATAGATCTCCAGGACAGGATTGGGCACCACGGCTCTACATTACACTCATGCTCTTGTTTAAAAAATTTTTTTTTATGGCATTTAGAATCAGCTGTGTTTGTTGTTTGCTGCCACTGTCATTTTCTCATTTGTGTCACACCGTGCTGCTGAACACATTTCAGTAATAACCCGTCCTGTTTAAGAAACCAGTAAACCTGAAGCATAGTGGTATCAGCTCTGCTCACACTGCTTCTGCTATATGTGTGTTTTTATGTGAGTGTGCAAGTATTTGTATGTGTGTGTGTGTGTGAGAGAGAGAGAGAGTGTGTGTGTGTGTGTGTGTGTGTGTATGTGCACATGTACGTGAACAGAACAGTAATAGCGTATGTCAGGTTAGCTGGTGTATTTTCCTCTCTGCTGACTGTGCTTCAGTGCTCAACATGAATGCCTTAAAAGTGTCTTTGTTTGGAACAGCCACATCTGACCTGTGTTGGACAACCTGAATTCTTATTTATCAAGTGACCACTGCTCGGCACAGTTCATTTAAAGGGTCATATTGCACATTTTTTGAAGACTATTCTTTATTTTGGCAAATAAGTAAAACATTGAATAAGCATTACAAAAAAAATGCATTTTAAAGTCAAAATACTGATTGCTCTAAATACAGGGGGAAACAGGGTCATGTGACTGGATCTCTGAAACCACATGTTAGCGTAGTTACCTCCGCTGTCCCGGAGCACAGTCAAGCTCAACCTAATTGCTGCTAACCCTATGCTTAACCCTAATGTGCTGTGAGGAAGAGCATTAAAACAAGGGATTCGAACTTCACTGCTCTGAACCAAAACACAGATTATAGGGCTAAAAATACATACCTGGATATTTTTCCATATTTTGATGATATTCAATATATATAGCATTTTTCCATTTGTTCTCGAAAACTGCATAGATCTGTTTTGACATTAAGAACTCAAATACAGGACTGATAACAGTATTCTGCTGCTGTGTGAACGAGGTCTATGAGGATTAACCCTTCCATTCCCATGGTTATTACTGACAGTCATCACATTTTCAAATTCAATCCTGCATTTAATTATGGCTGTCAATCCAGAAACTTTGTAGTGTGTAAATAGGAGCATGAATTATTTAATATCATTATTATTATTATCATCATTATCATTATGGTGAATGTGTTATAAACAGAAAGTGAGTAAAGAGAGCTGCCTTTATAATCACTTCAGCAAACACTCTCACACACACACACAAACAACACACACACACACACACACACACACACACACACACACA